CCGAAATGTCCCGCGTAAGGTACGTCGTGAAACTCCTCCAAGAGGATCTGCCGTAGCGGGGGGTAATTCGGTACCCAAATCTTTCATAAACCCTTCCTTACAGCTAAGTCTTTCTCCTACTGTAACAGCTTCTTAGTCTGTGCTGTAGCAATCTCTGCGTCCACGGAGTACCCATGTTGGAATAGACCCTTGAGTAGAGGGTTCATCCCTTCGAGCTGGATGCCTGCTACATGTCCGGGGCGGCTCAATGCGTCTGCCTTGTTGTGTAGCCCGGGCTTGTAGACGATGTCGTAGTGGAAGTGAGTTTCCAGGAAGTCCACCCACCGCACCTGTCGTCGTGAGAGCGTCGGCTGCGACTTCAGGTATTTGAGATTGCAGTGGTCAGTATAAATTGTAGTCTTGGCTCCCTCTAGGTAGCACCTCCACGCCTTGAAGGCTATGACTATCGCTAAGGCTTCCTTCTCATGGATGGGGTGGTTCAGTTCTGCTCCGTGTAGCTTCTTACTGAGATAGGCGATGGGCTGCAAACCGCATCCGTGATCTTGCATCAGTACTGCTCCGACTGCTTGGTCACTAGCGTCTGCTTCCACCACGTAGTCCTTGTCTGGATCCGGTAGGATGAGTACTGGCGCTGTAGTCAGTGCTGTCTGTAGCTGCTCCATGGCTTGCTGATGAGGAGTATCCCATATGTAGGGCGTATCCTTTTTCAGTAGGTCGGTCAGTGGCACTGCTATCTTAGCGTATTGCTGCACGAACCTGTTGTAGTAGTTGGCGAAGCCTAGGAACTGCTGCAACTCCTTCACGTTCTCCGGTACTTTCCACTTCTTAACGGCTTCGATCTTCTGCGAGACCACGTGTACGCCCTCGGCACTCACCATGTGCCCGAGAAACTGCACCTTCTTCAGGGCGAAGTCGCTCTTCGACAGCTTCACGTAGAACTTGTTTTTCCGCAGGATCTCGAGCACTTTCCGTAGATGCTCCACGTGCTTCATGTTCTTGGAGTAGATAAGAATGTCGTCCAGGTACACCACTACGCACTCGTCCAGCAGGGGTCGTAAGATGTGATTCATCTCCGCCTGAAACGTTGCTGGTGCGTTGCAGAGTCCGAACGGCATCACTAAGCATTCGTAGGAGCCGTATCTGGTATGGAACGCCGTCTTGTGGACCGAGTTGTCTGGCATCTTGATCTGCCAGTAACCCGACCGTAGGTCCAGTTTCGAAAAGACTGTTGCTCCACGCAGTTGATCCCGTAGGTCGTCTATGCGCGGTATGGGGTATTTGTTTTTTAGTGTCTGTTTGTTCAGTGCGCGGTAGTCGATGCACATCCGTAAACTGCCGTCGGGTTTTGGAGTGAAGAGGACTGGTGCACCGTAGGGAGAGGTGGATGGGCGGATCAGTTGTCTGTCCAGTAGATACTCTATCTGTTTCTTCACGTCTGTCAGTTCGGTCGGACTCAGTCCGTATGGTGCGCGTGAGACGGGTTTCGCACCTGGTTCTTCCACGATCTCGTGCTCGTGGGTGCGTGCTGGAGGTATGCCTGTGGGTAGGTCGTTGGGCATTATATCCTTGTACTGCTCCAAGACCTCCTTCACTGCTGCAGGTAGCTCTGCGTTCGGCTTCTCCTCCTCTGCTGCTGCCGTAACTAGTACTAGGCATCCCGTATTACTCTCGTTCACCGTCTTTTCAAACCGTGCCAGTGTCGTTTCAGGAACGTCCCATTTGTCCGTCCAGCTTCGTAGTGCTATCCGCTTCCCGTTGTTGTAGATGCACGCCTTCCTGTTGACTCAGTCGATCTCGGGGTTGAACCGCTTCAGGAAATCTCGCCCCAAGATTAAATCTAAACCCTTGATGTCCGTGATCGGCAATGTCAGCTTCCACCTCAGCGCCCCTATGTGCAACTGCAGTGATGCTTCGCCGTGGATGGAAAGTTTCGTACCGTCCACCATCGTTGCCGTGAACTTGGTCTCCTCTGAAGATTCTCCAATTTTCTCCAACGTCCCGCGGTCGCACACCGAGTGAGACGCACCGCTGTCCACCAGTGCCTGGAGGCGTCGCCCGTTGCAGATCACCTCGAGTAGTAGTGGTTGTTGCTGCTCCGAGTAACCGTAGATGGTCTCGCTTATAGGATCGTAGGGTACGTCGAATAGATCATCCCTCGGTCTTGCGCTCGAAGCTGCTGACTCCATATCAGTTTCCAACTGAGTAGGGCTGGAAGGATTTATCCGAGGCCGATTCAGCTTTGTCTTGGCCTGGAACCTTCCCTTAAGCCTTTGCAGCTGTGTAGGCTTCACCTGTGGGCAATGGGGCGCCTTATGTTAGAATGTAGAACTGAACGAGAATCGATGAAACTAGGCAGCAGGGTGATACAAGTAGGACACCCTAGCAATGTTGTACCCCCTAAGGCTAAACCCACTATAGCCTACACAATATAAACATGTATAATGTTTGACACACCCCCATAGGCTAAGTGGGAGAAAACCAGATGGTCACAAGACCAGTCAAAGCAAAGCAAAGCAAGCTCAAGGTGGATCTCAAGGAAACCACACAAATTCCGAGCACAAGCAAGCGGTCACAAGATCAGTTCACATGCAGTTTGATGATATAACAAGAGGTACAGTGATCACAACCTAGTAAGTGTAAGCATGCAGGTATATATATATATATAGAGATCACAGTACGAGCAGAGTCAAAAAGTAAGCAAGTGAGGCACAGTAGGCACAAGGCCTAGAACAGTACAGAAACGCTGATGATCACAAGGCTGAAGCGCCTTGGTGAACACATCAGCAGTGTTGGCCCGAGTGGCCACGTAAGCAAGACGAAGCTGACCACGCTGCTGCAGCTCTCGAGCAAGGAAGTAGCGCAGAGCGATGTGCTTCGTTCTGTGCTCCAGTCTGTGCTCCTGACACAAGGCAATGGCAGCCTTGTTGTCGACGTACAGCACTGGAGGAGAACGAGGCCGCTCTCCCAGGTCGGTCAGCAGGTAGGTGAGCCAGCGTAACTCCTGTGCAGCCATGGCTGTGGCGTAGATCTCAGCCTCACAACTGGAGCTGAGAACTGAAGACGAGCGTGTAGAACCCCAAGAAATTGAACCAGAGCCAAGGCTGAAGGTGTAACCCTAAGACGACCGCTGCGTAGCCTGGTCGTCAACCCAAGAAGCGTCTGAGTGCCCAGTGAGGACAACGTCGCTCCGTCCTCCAAGCACAAGCCCCATGCCCGACGTACTGCATAAGTAGCGCAACACCCTCTTAGCGGCATCCATGTGCTCCTTCCGGTGACGGCCAGGAGCGACATAGCGTGCTAGGATGCTAAGAGGGTATGCAAGGTCAGGTCGAGTGCAGGTCATCAGGTACATGAGGCAGCCCACAAGCTCTGGATACGGGCCACTCGGCTCTACGGACTCATCCGAAGGCAGAGCTGAGAGCGACTGACCGGTAGGCAGAGGAGTGGCCTGAGGCGAGGAGTACATAAAGCGGAAGCGCTGAAGGACCTGCTGCACCATGTGTGACTGAGTCAAGGTGATGGTGCGCTGTGCTCTGTCCCGGGTGATCCGCAAGCCAAGATAGCTTGTCAGCTCACCTAGGTCTGTGCACGTGTGTCTCTTCTGCAGCTCCGATTTCACGTGGGCGAGTGCCTCAGTGTCAGCAGTAGCAAAGACCAAGTCGTCTACGTACACGAGAACGTAGAACGGTGGCAGAGTGGTGTCGGTGCGTAGAAACAGCGATGGGTCAGCAGTAGAAGGAGCAAACCCAAGAACAGCAAGAGTAGTCCTCAGTGCGTCGTGCCACTCACGGGGTGCCTGGCGGAGACCGTAGACTGGCCGCCGGAGGCTCCACTGGGTACCAGGAGGGAACGACTCCGTGAAGCCAGGTGGGTGGCGCAGCCAGATCTCCTCGTGCAGGCTGCCCTGTAGGAAAGCAGTGCTGAAGTCAAGAGAGTGGAGCTCGTAGTCACGCTGAGCGGCGACGTGCAGCAGAACCCGAAGAGTGGTCATCTTCGGGGTCGGGGAGAAGGTCTGGAAGAAGTCAACTCCCTCTCGCTGACTGAAGCCTCGTGCAACGTAACGCGCCTTGAAGACAGGCGGAGAACCCGGCGGCCGCTTCACCCTGAAAATCCACATGCCTTTGACGATGTTCGCCCCAGGAGGGGGAACCTCGTCGACGTAGGTGCCTGTGGACTTCCAGGAATCCATCTCTGCGTCCATGGCTGTCTGCCACTGAGAGGAGTAGGGACCCTCCATCGCCTCTGCGTAAGAGCGTGGGGTCGGGATGTCTGGTGCATCCGGGTCTCCCTCAGGGGCAATCATCATGGAGACGAGATGGGGTAAAGCAGCGACAATGCACTCAAACTCCTCCTGGCTCTCCTCGAGGACGTCCGTGCCAAGAGTACACTCACCCCCAACGGACGGAGGTCAGACAAACTCAGACTCAGACTCAGCATCAAGGCTAGCGGCGTAGTCTAGACGACAGGCGGCAGCAAAGTCAACAAGCTCAGCGACAAGAGCAGACGCAGCAGAGGACTCAAAGGTAGGGTCAGTGACAACAGTGGCGAGGAAACGCGTGACAGTAGGTCTGGCTGCACGAAGAGAGTCAGACTCCGGGTCCGAACCGTCAGGAAGAGAGGACGCAGGAGGAGTCGGCAGAAGAACACGCTGTGGAGCAGTGGAAGGACGCAGGGTCATATAGTGAGTGCCAAGGACAGGAGGAGGACGCTGACGTGGAGCACGACGACCAGCGCGGACAGCGCGGACAGGCAACTCTGGACGCGACTCAGGCGACTCAGGATGAGACTCAGGCGACACTGGACGGGACTCAGGCTCACGACGCTCCATAAGACCTCCAGTCGGCCCAGCGTACGGAGAAGGACCAGGCAGCGGAGAGGCAAGCGGTAACTGTGACTGCGACTGGACCGGTGGTGGACTCTGTAGGGGAGGAGAAGGACCAGTGGAGGGCGGGAGGCCAAGAACCTGCTGAAGGAGCGGAACGTAGTACGGCCGCGGCCGCTCAGCACCTCCTGAGCCAGCAGAGACAGCACGAGCACCCTGAGCCCCAGGGTCTCCAGCTCCAACTCCCACAGCACCACCAGGAACTCCAGTAGCTCCAGTACCTCCAGCTCCGACTCCCGCAGCCGCTCCAGTCCCAGCAGCTCCAGTACCTCCAGCAGCACCAGCAGCACCTCCAGCAGCTCCAGCACCAGCAGCACCTCCAGCACCAGCAGCGTCTCCAGCAGCTCCAGCACCAGCAGCACCTCCAGCAGCACCTGCGCCAGCAGCACCAGCACCAGCACCAGCTCCAGCTCCAGGGTCCGCGACACCAGTAGCGCCACTCCGGAGACTGCAGCGCCGAGCGTACCACTCTCGGAGCCGCTGGGGAGAGGGCGGCTCCCGCCTAGGCGGGGAACCACGAGCACCAGCTCCAGCAGCACCCCTAGTCCCAGAAGCGCCCCTCCTGAGGCTGCAGTACTGCGAGTACCACTCCCGCAGCTGCTGTGAAGAGGGAGCGCCTCCAGGCGTAGCACGGTCAGTCGCAGCACCTCCAGGCTCAGTACCCTCAGACGTAGCACTCTCAGGCTCAGCACCCCCAGACTCAGCACCCTCAGGCTCAGCACCCCCAGACTCCGTACCCGCAGGCTCAACACCCCCAGGCTCCTCACGCTCAGGCTCAGCACCCCCAGGCTCCGCACCCCCAGGCTCCGCACCCCCAGGCTCCGCACGCTCAGGCTCAGTACCCCTAGCAGGACGAGAGTCGACAGCTACCTTGACAGGCTCAACCGGGTCTACTTGGGACACACCTGAGGGAGCGGCACCCTGAGGGGGGAGGGGGTCTACCACAGCAGCACCTGGTGCGAGGAATAGAGGCGGGGGGGGGAGCGGGGCAGTTCGGTAGGGGAAGAGGCGGTAGTAGGGGACGGACTCGTCGAAAGTGACGTCCTGAGAGGGCAGAACACGGCGCGAGGTGGCGTGGTAAAACTGCCAACCAGACGCGTCCGGGACAAAGCCAAGGAAGACACAAGGAACGGCGCGGGAGGAGAGCTTGTCCGCGGACGTATCGCGGACAATAGCACGAGATCCCCAGACCCAGAACACCGACGCATCGCCAACCTCTCCCGTCCAACGCAGTGTCGGCGAAGTCTCCGGAACGGAGACACGGGGCCAGAGGTTGAGCTGATGCGCAGCGTATCGGACCGCAAACGGCCACAGAAAGTGGGGGGCAGCCGCATGGATCAAGGAGGTACGAGCAACCTCCATGACCAAGCCAATGCGGTGCTCAGCAACCCCATTTTGCTGTGGAGAGGCCAGAAGCGTGAACGACTGCTCAATGCCCTCCCCCTGACAGAAGGCCCTCAAGAGGTCGGAGGAAAACTCCCCACCTCTGTCAGAGTGCCGACGCAGGATAGGAAAGTCCAAGTGGAACCTCTCGCTGAGCTGGAGACGGGCAGCGCGGATCCAAGGGATCAAAACATCAGGGACTTCACCCTTGGTGCGCAAGGGGAAGACCGTGGTGTAGCGCGAGTAGTCGTCAACAACTATCAAGAAGTACCTCTCGTGACCTTGTCCACGGACGCGGGCTGGGCCCCACACGTCCATGTGGAGCGTTTGCAGGGGAGCAGTCGTCGGGGGAAACGAGGAGGAGTGAGGAGCGGCGCGCTGCCGCCCCTCGACACAGGGAAGACAGGGAGGAGCAGGCGAGGGTGGGAGGGGAGGGAGAACCCTGGGAAGACCAGAGACAAGGTACCGTTTGTGCATGCCACGGAGGCGCTGCACTGACGGGTGACCAAGGCGGTGGTGCCAGAGGACGGTCTCGTGCGCCAGGGAGCGACACGAGCAGGGGGCCGACAGCTGACCTGACGCAGACGCAGCTACCTGAGGGGACTCAGTGGTCAGTGTGTACAGGTCCGACCCCGGCTGCCGAGTGAAGGTAGCCAGGTGGCGACCCGTCCGAGCACACGTGCAGTATGTCACGCGCTCGTAGGCAGGGGTGAACTGGTGGACACCCCCGTCCTGGAGCGCACGACCCGCCACCAAGTTCGTAGAGAACGAGGGGAGGTAGAGACCTGACAGTGTGCCCGACGGAACCGCAGGACAAGGGAGGACAGTGGAGGAGGTCGCAATGACTGGACCCCCAGAGGGGTCAGCGAGGGAGACTGCAACTGGCCGAGCAAGCTGCTCGAGGGGAGTGCGGTCACGAAAGAAACAGCGGGAAGCACCTGAGTCCAGTGTGAAGGTGTGGAGTGCCTCAGTAGACGCAGTACCAGCGGGCGCAGACTCACGAGCACCTAGAGCAGCAGCCTCACCAGCACCTGGGGCAACAGACGCACTAGCACCTAGAGCGGAAAGCTCACCAGCACCTGGGGTAGCAGACACACTAGCACCTAGTGCGGCAGCCTCACTGGTCCTAATGCCCGGGTCGGGCGGGACACGCAGGTAACAGTCAGCCTCTCCACTAGCAGACAACACATACATGGCACCAAGAATAGCATCAAAGTCAAGAGCATAGACATCAATGTTCTTCTTGATCAGATCAAACCAGCGGGGCAGCTCAGTAGCAGCAGGAAACTGAGTGCGCCAGGCGTCGTCGAGGCGGGAGAAGCAGCGTTGCTGCGTGTGCGCCCTCCCACACGTCTGACCAGTGCGGTCACCTGTGCGGATGACGTACGGGCAGCTAAGGCCACCCCCCCCACGCTAAGAGTACCACTCACGAAGCTCCTGGGGCGACAGGGTGTGCTGCTGGCGCTGGCCACCGCCAGAGCCTCCGCGACCTCCACCGCCGCCGCCGCCACCTCGACCACCACCGCCACCACCGCCACCGCATCCACTGCCGCCACTACCACCGCTCCAACCCCGGCCACCTCCTCCACCGCTGCCGCCACCACCCCCGCCGTTGCCGCCACCACCCCCGCCGCTGCCACTGGCCCCTCCAGCCCCGCCACCACCCCCACCGCCGCCACCGCCCCCACCACCGCCTCCCCCGTCGTCACCGCCGCCCCCCTTGCCCCCTTTGCCCTTGCCGCTGCGGCGCCCCCCACTAGCAGTGGACGTAGTCCCGACCTTCTCAGCACCAAGAAGGTCGACAGCAGCAGCAGAGGCGACAGAGGGGAGGAGAGGGGAGGGGGAACACCCCTCGAAGAAAGGGGTGCGGGGGTCGCCGCGAGACGCACCGACAGCGACTATGCTAGTCTCGGCTGCCAGCAGGTGCTTCTCAAGCAGGTCAATGGTGAGCTCGGTGGGGCAGAGAGCAAGGAAGTGGTCCTTGACCGCACGAAGGGTGTCAGGGAGACGGGTGACCAGGTGGTAAAGAGTGAGCCACAGGGGGGGGGGGTTCTTGGCAAGAAACTCAGCGGGCATGGTAGCTCGGAAGCGGATCTCACTAGTGCGGAGGTGAGTAATGAGGTCAGCTACTGTGGAGAAAGCGGACAGGTCTGGGAACATATAGGGCAATGAGAGACGGCCTAGCGCAGCAGAGGCAGGCGAGGAGTAGCGCGCAACTACAGCAGTGTACAGTGCCTGAGTAGTCTTGTGCTGGCCAAAGTGCTCGCGTTCATCTACTGGCAGGGAGTTGCGAATGGCGAAGCGAGAGTGGGCGTCACGAGTCTGCCACTGTGAGCGGGCAGTACTGTCAGCAGTCGCAGCAGGGGCAGGAACGAGTCCTAACGCATGGTCATATAGCGAAATATCCTCCTTAGCAGTGAGCTGGAGGAACAGGTGGAGGTCATCGATCCAGGTGTCAAAACGCTGCGGGCGGCCCTCTGCATCGAAAGCTAGAACTGCAGGACTAGCCATAGTTTCAGTAGGAGCAGTAGGAATAGTAGTAATAGCTGCAGCAGTAGCAGTAGTGAAACAGCACAGCGCGGCTCGGGCAGGGCGGCGCGGCGCGGCTCGGGCAGGGCGGCGCGGCGCGGCTCGCGCGTGCGGCTGAGCGTGTGGCGGTGCGTGCGGTCGTGCGTGCAGCCTAGCGTGCGGCTGCGCGGGCGGCTCCGCGTGTGGTTGCGCGGGCGGCTGCGCGTGCGGCTATGCGTGCGGCTGCGCGTGCGGCTGCGCGTGCGGTCGTGCGTGCGGCCTAGTGGGCGGCCGTGTGTGCGGTCGTGCGTGCGGCCGAGCGTGCGGCTGCGCGGGCAGCTGCGCATGCGGCTGCGCGGGGCTGCGCGTGCGGCTGCGCGGGCGGCTGCGCGTGCGGTCGTGCATGCGGCTGTGCGTGCGGCCTATCGTGCAGCTGCGCGCGCGACTGATTGGGCGGCTGCGCGTGCGGCTGACGGGCGGCACGTGCGGCTGTCCTAGGGGCGCACGACGGCGCTAGTACGAGGGGCGCTCGATGGCGCTAGTAGGAGGGGCGCACGACGGCGCTAGTAGGAGGGGCACTTGACGGCGCTAGTAGGAGGGGCGCGCAAAGGCGCGGCGGAACGGTGGGCCCTAACCAACGTCGGTCCTAGGTCCTGACCTAGGCGTCGGATACCATGTTAGAATGTAGAACTGAACGAGAATCGATGAAACTAGGCAGCAGGGTGATACAAGTAGGACACCCTAGCAATGTTGTACCCCCTAAGGCTAAACCCACTATAGCCTACACAATATAAACATGTATAATGTTTGACACCTTAACACTATGCTGCGGGGAGAGAATATTAACTCCTTGGAACGCACGACCCTTTTCAACGCTCCGGAGTGGTTTGCCCAACTTCTCAGGTACCTGAATAATGTCTAAAGGCTTTTTCTTGGCCTTGAAATCTCTCCTAAATTTTTTACAGGCTTGAAAACCTCGAGAGGGAATATTCTTACTCTCGGGGGTGCTCGGCTGGAGTTTCCCGGTCGGTGCAGAGTGTTGTTTCGCGGAGCCTCCATTTGTCTCGGCGATTTCCCCTATTGCCGACAGGTCGTGACGTTTTAAATTCGCGCCATCATGATCTCCTTTTTTTCGCCATCGTGGATGTCGCACTGTTGTTGCCCTGCAGCTCCGCTCGTGCCTTCTTCATTTTCCAACACGCCAAGAATCGATGTCCTGCTGCGCCGCAAAATTCGCAGTTCTCATATTTTGTCGGCCGCTTCTTTGCGTCGATCTTGTCGATATCCATTGGGTCGGCGGTCGTGGGTGGTGCCGATCGCTTCGTGTCGAATGATCTGTTCGGCACGTGGCGTCGTGTCTCGGGTTGATCTCGCGTCAGCGCATCGAATCTCTCTGTTGCACACACCATGCCGCGGTAGTTGTTGTAGTTCGCGGCAATCACCTGTCGGTGCACTTCCATCTTTAGCCCCTCAGTATATGCTTGGATTTTTTCCCCTTCGGTCAGGTTGGTTATTTGGTTGAAGAGGCTCTCCATCTGCTGCGTGTACTGTGTTACACTGCCGAACTGTTTATGCCGATGAATCTGCTGCCACGCCATGTAGCTGGAGTTGATTGGTTCGAAACGTTGAATTAAAGCTTCTCGAAACTGCGTCTATGTCCCCTCGCCTCGGACTTCGTTGCTATTGTAAATCCACTCGAGCGCTGGGCCTCGTAACAGTGTCGCTGCGAGCCGAATCCGTATTGCATCGTGTGTCGGGGTCGTACAGCAAACGGCCTCGAAGTAAATTTCGAGGGTCGCAATGAATCGACGGACGTCGGTGTCTCTCGCATTCGGATTGAACCTTTCCGGTAGCCTCGGACGTACCGCCTCAAGATTCACTGAATCCGCTGCCGCTGCTGCTGGGTGAAGTGTCGGTGTCGCCGCCGCTGCTGCTGACGTCGCTGCTGCATTCGCCGCTGCGTTCGCTGCTGCTGTGGCGGCTGCCGACTGGTTCGCGAGAAGCTCCTCTATTCGATGGAGTGCCGCTCGCGTCTGGTCCAGGCCGGTGTGTAACTCCGTATTTTTTTGTACGGAATTATCACCATTTTCCTCCATTTGACGATTTACAGGAAGATTTGCGACGAAAATAATCGAATTCTAGGCGTTGGTCGTCTTACTGTGAGTCGAATCGACTTTAGAAATGACGAGCGCTGATTCTGTAGGTCGCGTAATTCCCTTAGTCGAAATTAGCGTTCAATCTCGGCCGTTGAGAAGAAATTCAATCCGACGCTCCAAATTCCAAAAATTTTGGGCGAAATTCTCTGGACCTTTGAGATTCGAATCGATCGGACGGTCGAAATTCCAACTTTTTGCCACTGGACCTGAGGAGTGTTTGAAAAACCGGTTCAAGGGGGACGTTAAAAAATAGCGCGGAACTGGTTTACGTACCCGTAATCGGCGCTTTTCGTCGTCGCCCGCGCGGTTTTAAATGCTAGGTTTTAGCGGTCGAAAAACTTCGCGTCTAAACAGGCTCTGATTACCAAGTGTGAGGGCCTAGGCTCTGCTATCCTCACTGCCATGTATGCATTGCCTACTAGTGCTGAGGGTGCCTGTTACCTGTGTGTGCCGCCTGACCCCGGTATCCAGTCTGCTGCTCTAGGTGCTGGTGAGGCTGCTTCTCTAGGTGCTGGTGCGTCTCCTGCTCCAGGTGCCGGTGAGGATGCTGCTCTAGGTGCTCGTGAGTCTACTGCTCTAGGTACTGGTGAGTCTGCTCTCTCTGGTGCTACGCCTGCTGCGGTCTTCCACACCTTCACCCTTGACTCGGGAGCTTCTCGCTCCTTCTTCCGAGACCGCACCACACTCACGCCGCTTAGTCGGCCGGTTGCAGTCTCCCTGGCAGACCCCTCTGGGGGTCCTGTCCTTGCCCACTACTCCACTGTCCTACCGTGTCCGGCGGCCCCTTCTGGCTCCCTGTCAGGTCTTTGCCTCCCCTCGTTCTCTACGAACTTGGTGAGTGGTGCTGACCTACAGGATGGGGGGGTTGACCAGTTCACTCCTGCGAGTCACCGAGTGACCCACTGCACGTGTGCTCGGACGGGCCGACACTTGGCCACTTTTACCCGTCAGCCGGGGTCGAGCCTGTACACACTCACTACCAAGTCTCCTTCGGTTCCTGCGTCTAGTCAGGTAGCTGCGTCGAGTCAGGTGTTTGCTGCAGCGTCCAGGTCTGGTCCTGAGTCTGCCCCCTGCTCGTGTCGTCTCCTGTCTCACCAGACTCTCCTCTGGCACCACCGCCTTGGTCACCCCTCCCTGCCTCGTCTCCGAGGCATGGCCTCCCGTTACCTTGTCTCTGGTCTTCCCCGGTCCCTCCCTCCCCTTCCTCCGGGGCCTGCCCCTACCTGCGTTCCCTGCGTCGAGGGGCGGCAGCGCGCCGCTCCTCACTCCTCCGAGTTTCCTCCGACAGAGGCTCCTCTGCAGACTCTCCACATGGACGTGTGGGGCCCAGCCCACGTCCGTGGACAGGGTCACGAGAGTTACTTCCTGCTGGTGGTTGACGACTACTCGTGTTACACCACAGTCTTCCCCTTGCACCGCAACCTTGCACCGCAAGGGTGAGGTCACTGAGGTGTTGATCGACTGGATCCGTGCTGCTCGTCTCCAGCTCAGAGAGAGTTTCGGCTCGGACTTTCCTGTTCTGCGTCTGCACTCCGACAGAGGTGGAGAGTTTTCCTCCGACCTTCTGCGAGCCTTCTGTCGTGCGGAGGGCATCCGCCAGACGTTCACGCTTCCGGCCTCTCCACAGCAAAATGGGATTGCTGAGCGCCGCATTGGCATGGTCATGGATGTCGCTCGTACGTCCATGATCCATGCGGCTGCTCCCCATTTTCTGTGGCCGTTCGCGGTTCAGTACGCGGCGCATCAGATCAACCTTCAGCCCCGGGTCTCGGTGCCGGAGACCTCCCCTACTCTGCGGTGGACGGGGAAGGTTGGCGATGCGTCTGCGTTCCGTGTCTGGGGATCTCGAGCTTTCGTCCGCGACTTGTCTGCGGACAAGCTGTCCTCCCGTGCTGTTCCCTGCGTCTTCCTTGGCTTCCCTCCTGACGCGCCTGGTTGGCAGTTTTACCACCCCACCTCGCGCCGTGTTCTGTCCTCCCAGGACGTCACGTTTGATGAGTCGGTTCCGTACTACCGTCTCTTCCCCTACCGCGCTGCCCCCCTCCCCCCCCCGCCGCTCTTCCTCGCGCCAGGTCCCCCCCTGGTAGACCCCCTTCCCCCTCAGGGTCCTGCCCCCTCAGGTGTGTCTCAGGTAGACGCAGTCGAGCCTGTCGAGGTAGCTGTTGACTCTGGGGGTGCTGAGTCTGGGGGTGCTGAGCCTGGGGTTGCTGAGTCTGGGGGTGCGGAGCCTGGGGGTGCGGAGCCTGGAGGTCCTTCGGGTGCTTCGCCTCGGCGGGAGCTGCTCTCTCCCCAGGAGCTGCGCGAGTGGTTTGCTCGGCGTTGGAGTCGTGCTGCTGGAGCTGGTGCTGTTGCTGGTGCTGGAGGTTCTACTGCTGCTGGGGGTGCTGGAGCCACGGGTCCCGGAGGTGCTCGTACTGGAGGTACTGGAGCTGCTGGGCCTGGTGGTTCTCCTAGTGCTGGAGCTGCTGGAGGAGCTGGAGCTGGTAGTGCTGCTGGTGTGGGTGCTGTTGGGGGTACAGGAGCCGGAGCTCCTGCGTCTTCTGGTGGTCCTCCTGGCGCTGTCGCTGCTGGAGGTTCTGGAGCTGGAGGTGCTGCTGGAGCCGGTGCTCCTGGAGGTACTGGAGTTGGCGCTGCTGGTGCTGCTGCTGGTGCTACTGGAGCTGGTGGTGCTGCTGGAGTTGGAGCTGCAGCTGAGGGTGCTGGTGCTGTCCCTGCTGCTACTGGCGGTGCTGCGCGGCCTCGGCCGTACTTCGTTCCCCTCCTTCAGCAGGTTCTTGGCCTTCTGCCTTCTTCTGGTCCTTCTCCTACCTTAGAGTGTCCACCGCCCGTCCCGTCCGAGTCACAGTT